ATGTATAACAATAAACGAAGGGAGTGTGAATGAGACTGCTCTGTTAGGAAAACAGCCAAAAACCTTTTACTCTCACCCATGGTAGAAGAATACAGGTAGATGCATCAAAGATTGGAAACATTGATATGTCAAATTATTTAAAATGTATTTTTTTCAAAAAATAGGTAAATTTTTCTATGTTTTCTTATGTGACGCCAATCGGAGGTTGCCAATATCAATAAGCGGATCGAAGTATTCCATTTTGATATTTCATCAAATATAGATAAAAATATTGGTATGTGCACAATTTGAAGGGAAACGAAAGTTTAAGATTTCTGGTTATGAGAAATACTTAGACATAGCAAGTTGTAAAGAATCGCCGACTTGCTTCGTATGTTATGACATATGTATATATTTTGGAAATTGTGACATTTTATGGGTGAGGTACCTGAAGGTGTTGGCAGATATCTATCATCTTTACAACAGATTTTGGGTTAGCAAAAATGTTTAGATGTGTGAGAATTGAAGAGAGTTGGATCTTTATTTCGGATTTTATGATCATTTTGGTTATTTGTGGGGGAGGTACCAGAAGGTGTGGACCGATATATCCCATCTTCATAGCAGATCTTGTGTTTGTAAAAATAATGGGATGTGTGAAATATGAAGAGAATCGTATGCTTATTTCGGATTTTATAATCGTTTTGGTTATTCAAAATGTTGACCCTTTGCGGGGGAGGTACCACAAGAAATGGTCCGATCTCTACCATCTTTATACCAGATCTTGTTTTGATGGAAATATTGAGATGTTCCAAATCAAATATTCCAAATACCAAATATTCAAAATTTTGACCAATTGTGGGGGACCTACCAGAAGGAGTGGATCGATATATTCCATTTTCACAGAAGATCTTGTGTTAATAGAAATAATGGAATGTGTGAAAAATGAAGAGAATCGTATGCTTATTTCGGATTTTATAATCGTTTTGGTTATTCAAAATGTTGACCCTTTGCGGGGGAGGTACCACAAGAAATGATCCGATCTCTACCATCTTTATACCACATCTTGTGTTGATGGAAATATTGAGTTATGCCAATTCTGAATGGAATCGGATGTTAATTTCGTGTGTTATGAGCTTCATTTTTATTCCAAATGTTAACCCTTTGTGGGGGAGGTACCAGAAGAAATGGTCCGATCTCTACCATCTTTATAACAGATCTTGTATTGATGAAAATATTGAGATATGCTTAGTTTGAATGGAATCGGATGTTAATTTCGTGTTTTATGAGCTCCATGGATATTCAAAATTTTGACCCTTTGTGGGGGAGGTACCAGAAGGATGGTACCGATATATTCCATTTGCACACCAAACCTTGGGTTAATAAAAATATTGTGATGTGTGTAATTTGAAGATAATCGGACTCTTTCATCATATTTTATAAAAGTTACAATTATTCAAAATCTTAACCCTTTGTGGGGGAGGTACTTGATGGAGTGGATCGATATGGTCCGTTTTCGCACTTGACCTAGCACTGATACAAATACTAGGATTTGCAAAGTTGAAGCAAAATTGGATATCCTTTCACACTCTGTGCAGTAAATTATTCTCTTTGAAAATGTTGGCATTTTGTGGGGGGAGGTATCCGAAGAAATGGACCAATACATTCCATCTTGACACCAGACCTTGGGCTAATAAAATTATTGGGATGTGTGAAATTTATTTGAAGATAATCGGGTTGTTACATCACATTTTATAAGAGTTAAAATTATTCAAAACGTTGACCCTTTGTGGGGGAGGTACTTGATGGAGTGAACCGATATGGTCGATTTTCGCACCTGACCTAGCACTGATACAAATATTACGATTTGCAAAGTTGGAGGAAAATCGGATTATCCTTTCTCTTTCTGTGCAATAAATTATTCTCTTTGAAAATGTTGACATTTTATGCGGGAGGTACCCGAAGAAATGGACCGATATATTCCATCTTTACACCAGACCTTGGAGTGGACGATACTGACCATTTTCGCACCTGACCTAGCACTGATGTAAATATTAGGATTTGCAAAGTTAGAGAAAAATCGGATTATCCTCTCTCTCTCTGCAGAAAATTATTTTCTTCTTTTTGAAATTTTCAAAAATTTCCACCATTCGTGGGGAAGGTACCAGTGGGAGTGTACCGATATTGTCCATCTCCGAACTCGATCTAAGTTTGACAATAATATTACGATGTACCAAGTTTGGATCAAATCGTATACTCCTTTCGAGAGTTATCGTGCGCATCAGCCAGCCAGCAAGACAGACGCACGGATGGACATCGCTAGATCCACTCCAAATGTCTTGAAACAAATTTGGTCCAAAGAGACCTATGGTCTAAAACCATTATTTCGATGAGACACATTTTGACCGTATCAAATGATACGCCATATGGCTGAGGGTATAAAAACATATGCGGGTGTGTGTTGTACTAAATAAGTCAAACCATGACGATTGACGTATGACCAAATGCAACCCCAAAGGTGAGAGTACATAGACGGCTTTTCTGACTGGCTTAAGTCATCGATTGGCTGGCTTCTTCGTAGAGAAACAAAGGAGTTATAGGTCGACTTAGTTCGATATTGGTCCTTCGCTCCTTTGGTCTTTTCCAAAGAAGCCAGCCAGTCAAAAATGCTTTTTATGTATTCTCACCTTCATTGCGATAGGCTTACACTGCCTTTACACGGTGGCATTTTTACATGGCATTTTTATCAATTCTCTTTTAAAATTTCTGCGTAAATCTTCGCGCCATTTTTTCCTCTATCCTTGTCCCTCTACACCTTTTACCAACAAAAAAAAATGGCATGGTTAAAAAATGTCACCGCAGTGTTAGTGGGGCATAATATCAAAGGGAAAATCAAGGAGCAAATGAAAATCGCATATTTTAAAGATAAAGATTTAGATTTGCCAAAAAAGATAAAAAAATATTCCTGAAAACCGAAATGTTGTTCAAAATATTCGCTCGAGTCACTTTTGCTAAATTCCATTCCATTTGTCCGCCATCAACCCAATTATGGGCCATAAAAAATCAGTTATTTCTATGGCAATCATAAACAAGTCATTATTACAGCAACATTTTCATGATCAATGTTAGCCTGAAAACGGAAAACAATAACAACGACAATGTGTCTTTTAATCATTGAAATCCCTCCCCTCTCAGCTCTTGATACCCAAAGCCGCTTAGAATTGCTAAGCCATGGAGGACAACATATGCATGCTAATTATGGGTCTCTGGAATAATGAATAGAAAACATGAAATGAATATTATTCTTGTTCTTGTGATTGTTGTTGTTGTTAATTCTGAATATTTATTACCCTGACCGGGAACCCTTTTTGCACAAAGAAATCTATTCTAAATCATTTTTATACCCTCCACCTTGGAAAGGAGGGTATATTAACTTTGTCATTCCGTTTGTAACATCCCTAAATATTCGCATAAAATTCTAATTCGATTTAACGATTTCCGTCTGTCTATCGGTCCGTCTGTCTGTTGAAATCACGATACAGGCCACATTATTTGACGTAGAGCGCCAAAATTTAGCAGATCAGTTTGTATTGTGTCTAGGATGGTTGGTATTGAAAATGAGATATATCGGTCCATGTTTTGGTATAGCTCCCATATAAGGGTACCTCCCGATATTCGGTATTTTGATTATTTTTGCCACATTTTTTCACGGATTAGTCTAAAAATTTGTATTTGTTGGTCATAATGGGTTCCAGCACTGGTGGCGAAACATTGTATCTATAAGTCCACGTTTTGGTATAGCCCCCATATAACGGTACCTCCCGATATTCGGCATTTTAATTATTTTTGCCACATTTCTTCGCGGATTTGTCTAGAAATTAGTATTTGTTGGTCTTAATGGGTTCTAGCTTTTGGCGAAACACTGTATGATAGGTCCACGTTTTTGTATAGCCCCATACAGCCGTATCTCCCGATATTCGGTACTTTGATGATTTTTGGCACATTTTCCCATGAATATGTCTAAAAATTGGTATTTGTGGGTCATAATGGGCTATAATGTTTCCTTTACCCTAAGGTGGAGGGTATTAAATGTTTGGCCCGGCCGAACTTATTGTTTTTTTACTTGTTATTTCTACCGTATCTTTCGTTCAATTCGAATACTTTGCGACAATTCGTTTTGAAAATTAATTGATATTCTATTCTAATCGGCCATAAGTCCCGGGCGGCTGGTAGTTAATGTCCACAAACACCTGAGTTGATCGAGAGAGATATAACAGCAACAACAACAACATCATTTTGGTATTTGTAAATGTTGTTACGAAGTAAAAGTTGTTTTCTGTTGCCATTTTGAAAAAAAAAACGAGCGGCGACAAATGACGTCTCGGCTGAGCTGCACATTTTTGAGATGTTAGAGAATTTGCTGTTTAAAAAAAATTCATAGATATTGAAATTTGTAATAAGAATTCGAATTGACTGGTTGAGCAGGAACTTGATTTGTATGACCAGTGGCAGATTGGTTGCTGGTGGTGGTGGTGGTGGTGCAAAAATGCTCGTATGACAAGTTTCAATTGCGTTTATTTCCTATATTGGCTATTTCAAAAAATTGTGGTGTGCGCCTTTAAAAGGGGTAACCCTGAAAATAATTGATAGCTGGAAGAAGAAGAACAATTACTAAAAAACAGCTGATTATTCCAATTACTTAGATGTCAATATTAGGGAATAATGTAAGAAGAAAATGGAAAAATTAAGCGAGGAAAATGGCAGCCAGAATTTCCTGGCAAAAATTGTAAGAAAAATCTGCCCTTTTTGATTTACCTGTGAAGAAGATTGGATGTGTGGCTCCCTGTAACCAGCGAAGAAAAAAGCCGACAAAGTTTTTGGTGATGAACCACTTGCTGAGAAGTGAATTCAATGTTTTTTTATTTATTTGAAACACATATACAAACAACACGAAATACAAACTTTTTTTTAACAAAATTGGAAGCCTTAAAATAATTATACAAAATTTAACAACAAAAGGCGAAAAGTTGAAATAAAACTTATAACAAAACGAATAATTTTCACAAAAATTGAAAATTAAAAGACAAATTGAACTTTTCTTAAAATTAAAACAAAATTTGGAAACAATTTAACAAAATTGAAAAGAAAAACCAAAACAATTAACTAAAAATCTAAACCAAGAAAATAAATCTTAAACCTAAAAATTCATGGAGAATTGGAGCCTACAAGCCACACCATCGCCCATCCAATCCATCGAGGGAGCCGCTGATTTTGCGCCATTGCTAACCCAGCGTGGCTTGGTATTCCCAACCGACATTTTGTACAAGAAACCTCGGACAGACAGACGGACGACGAAGCATCATAATTAAATTCCGCGGTTTTTTCCTGTAAAAAAATGGAGAAATATGAATTAGAAGGGGAAACAAATGAAGTAAATTTTAAATTTTAATCACCTTTTGGTTAGTCTGTAGGTACACGACGTTGAACAGAGCTCTATTCAAGGTTAGGTAACCAGGCTTTTAATCCGTTCGTCGATTTTAAGTGCTATCGACACTCCATCTTTGTTTGCCTTTTCTGAAAGTAAATGAAAGAAATATAATTAATAAAAAAATTTAACGTGGAATATAATTAAAAAAGCTAAACTTTAAAACAATACTTACGTACATACTTGTTGGGAAGAACCACAATTGCAAGCCGCCATTATTGCACCCTAATTTTTGTCATCAGAAATCGCAGTCTAAAAGAAGAAAAAGTAAAGTTTTTCTTGTAATTTTTGGCAAAATTGTACTTGTTCATTGAATTGAATTCATAATTAAAGTTGAACGCATACGTTAAAGTTAGCATGTAATTTTTTCTACGAATTGTTATTTGGGAATTTAAAGTAATTTAAATAAAATGTACCAATTTTATACAGAAAATATAAATATGTCTTTGGCTTAAAGCCCTGTTTAAAAAGGTGGTGGTAATGATATAAAATGTGGTAAGTCAAGGGTCAGATCTGGGACGTCAAGTATAGTAGACGTCATGGCGAGAGGTGTTCTCGGAGGGAGGGCTATCTCCTGGCTGGTCAGCCGCCAGGAGCACTGTTTCTGTGAAGAAAACTAATGTTATTTTGGGATTTGGTTGTAGTTAGGTGAACGTTTTCTTTTTAATTTTTTTTGTTGACATGTTTCAGGCTTCTTTTTACCCCCTTTTTTAATTTAGTTTGAAGTCCGGTATGATTTATTTGTTTGTTCAACCGAAAAGATCGGCAAGTGGCAAGAACCAACCCCCAATCCGACGAGCCATAGCCGCGCTAAACGCCAGCATACCGGCAACGCCACTTAATGGTCAACACAGCGATTTCATTTCGTTTTTTTTCTTGAACACGGTTGTTACAAAATAGACGGTATTTTATCTAAAAGAAAGGAGGTTCTGCAATTTTTTTTTAGAAAAAAATATTCAATTGATAATTTTTCGCTAAAATTTCCATTCATTCAGCAGAAGGTTTGTTTGGTATATTTTTCTTGCAGGAATTGTGCAGCAGCTTCTATTTGAGAGACTAATGCCCTACACAGATGGCAGATTTAATTTACATTAAAAAAAGCTCTTAATCAGCATTTAATTTTTGCCCAGACCAATGGTAGAATCTGCAATTACGATCCGTTTCGCCCATAGATCCAAAAAAAATATCGGTGTCTCGGACGCATTAGACACTTCGATTCTATATTTTTAAAATTCGGAAATTTGAAAAAACATTAATATTTTTATGTTTTATTTTCATTATACCCTCAGCCATACAGGGTGAAATAAAAAAACACTGCAACAGAGTCAAAAACCCCATAATTTTTACATTTTTTTAAATTTCATTGAATGAAAGCAAAAAAAGTTTGGAAATAGCATCAAATTTTAGAATAAGTTTAGATTTGTTCGAATTCGTCACCTTTTGGCACGAATTATGGCCTTCAAACGGCCAATGAAACTGTCACAAGCTGCCCGAATGTTGCTCTGCTCTGCGGTATTTTGGCCCATTCCCGGCGAAGCACTTGCTTGATGTGATTGATACTTTGGAGAGTTTTTAGTGCCAACCTTGCTTTCCAAAATACTCCAGACACAGAATAGTCCAACGGATTGGTATCCGGAGATTTTGGTGCCAGTATGAGCTGGAAATGAAGCGAGAAACATCATTTTGTAACCATTCTTGGGTCGGGCGTGCTGAGTGCGATGGTGCTGAGCCCTGTTGGAATGTCCAAAGTCTGCGGCCAAAATGTTGCATGCCCAACGCTTTAATATACCCTCCAGAATATTTTGATGCCACGGTCGAATAATACGAGCGGAGAGTGACCATCGGCTGTTATGGCGGCCCACACCATCACCATGGCCGACGTTTGAGTTCTGGTGGCCAATGGCTTTATCCCGAGCTCATTTTTCAATATTTGCTGAATGGAATATTGCGAAATAACGGTTTTAGACCCTAAGTTTCTTTGGACGAAATCCGTTTCAGGAAATTAGGAGTCGATCTAGCGATGTCCATCCGTCCAACCGTCTGTCTGGCTGGCTGGTGCGCACGATAACTCTCAAAGGAGTATACGATTTAATCCAAACTTGGTACATCGTAATATTATTGTCAAACTTAGATCGAGTTCGGAGATGGGCAATACCGGTCCTCTCCTTCTGGTACCTCCCACACAAAATGTCAAAATTTGCAAAGAAAACAATTTCCTGCACAGAAAGAGAAAGGATAATCCGATTTGGATCCAACCTTGCAAATCCTACTATTTGCGTCAGCGCTAGATCAGGTGCGAAAATGGACAATATCGGTCCATTTCATCAAGTACCTCCTCCACAAAGGCTCAAAATTTTGAATAATTATAACCCTTTTAAAATGTGATGTACTAGTCCGATTATCTTCAAATTAAATACATCACAATATTTTTATTAATCCAAGGTCTGGTGTGAAGATGGAATTTATCGGTCCACTCCTTCTGGTACCTCCCCCACAAGGGGTCAAAATCTGGAAAATTCATAAAGCTCATAAAACACGAAATTAACATCCAATTTCATTCAGACTTGGCAGATGTCAATATTTCCATCAACATAAGAACTGTTATGAAGATGCTAGAGATCGAACCATTCCTTCCGGTAACTCCCCCACAAAGGGTCATAATTTTGAATAACCAAAACGATCATAAAATCCGAAATAAGCATTCGATTCACTTCATATTTTAGACATCCCATTATTTCTACTAACACAAGATGTGCTGTGAAGATGGAATGTATCAATCCACTCCTTCTGGTACCTCCCCCACAAGGGGTCAAAATCTGGAAAATTCATGAAGCTCATAAAACACGGAACTAACATCCGATTCCATTCAGACTTGGCAAATCTCAATATTTCCATCGACACAAGATCTGTTATAAAGATAGTAGAGATCGAACCATTCCTTCCGGTACCTCCCCCACAAAGGGTCATAATTTTGAATAACCAAAACGATCATAAAATCCGCAATAAGCATTCGATTCACTTCATATTTTAGACATGGCATTATTTTTATTAACCCAAGGTTTGGTGTGAAGATGGGATTTATCGGTCCACTCCTTCTGGTACCTTCCCCACAAAGGGTCAAAATCTGGAAAATTCATGAAGCTTATAAAACATGAAATTTACATCCAATTTCATTCAGACTTGGCACATCTCAATATTTCCATCGACAAAATATCTGTTATAAAGATCGTAGAGATCGGACCATTCCTTCCGGTACCTCTCCCACAAAGGGTAAAATTTTTGAATAGCTAAAACGATTATAAAATCCGAAATAAGCATTCTATTTACTTCAAATTACACACATCCCATTATTTCTACTAACACAAGATGTGCTGTGAAGATGGTAGAGATTAGACCATTCCTTCTGGTACCTCCCCCACAAGGGGTCAAAATCTGAAAAATTCATGAAGCTTATAAAACACGAAATTATCATCCAATTCCATTCAGACTTGGCACATCTCAATATTTCCATCAATGCAAGATCTGTTATGAAGATGGTAGAGATCGGACCATTCCTTCTGGTACCTCCCCCACAAATGGTCGTAATTTTGAATAACCAAAACGATCATAAAATCCGAAATAAGCATTCAATTCACTTCATATTTCACACATCCCAGTATTTCCACCAACACAAGATCTGTTATAAAGATGGTAGAGGTCGGACCATTCCTTCTGGTGCCTCCCCCACAAATGCTCATAATTTTGAATAACCAAAACGATCATAAAATCCGCAATAAGCATCCGGTTCTCTTCAAATTACAAACATGACAATATTTTTACTAATCAAAGGACTGGTGTGAAGATGGAATATGTCGGTCCACTCCTTCTGGTACCTCCCCCACAAAGGGTCAAAATTTTGAATATCGTGTAGAACACGAAATTGACATCCGATTCCATTCAGACTTGGTACATTGACATTTTATTGCCCGAGCAGCTGTGTCGATGCGACTATACGTGCTATTATTTACACCGAGCAATTTTTAATGTTTGCTATGTAAACATGCCATAACATCACACAGCAGGCTACCGAAGCTCTGGAAAACAGCGCTTGGCAACGACTGACAGCTGCTGTTAGAATTCCCCCCCTGGGCATCGACTGCCCTCCATGTGGTTGGTCATTTCGGACATTTAGCAACTACAGCAACAATAGATAGCTATTTAATATGCAAGACCTAATGCAGATTTTTCAATTCGATTGAGCTTTGTTGTTGTTGCTGTTGCTTTAAAACAATAACAATAAATAAATAGCCACCTCACAAACTTTGTAGCTACGAAGAATAGAATTCACTTGCGCAGAGTTCTTATGAAAATTATGAATAATCTGCGGGGCTATTTGCCCATAGCCAATAGCTTTTTGTTGGTGTGTGGGTGGGTGTGTACGTTTTTTGCTTTGTTTTCTCCTAGTTTTGGAGCGTTTTTGGTTAATCATTTCCTATGGCGTCAAAGAAACAATCGATCGCTTCGACGTTATGTTGGTCATTTACGTTAAGTGCCGGGTTCAGTGTTAACACCTGATGACTCAAGACCAAGCGCAAACTAATAAACGATTTTCAAAACTACCAATTTCGGTTTCAATATCCAAAAGCATGGTGGCTGGTGGCGGGGTGGCACAGTGGAGCCTAACCCCCAATCGAGCAAAAAAAAAAAGAGAAACAATTGCTTTTTCAAGAATCTATGTCAAATTGTCTTGACATTGATCTGTTAGCTAAATGTTAACATAACAGTGCCATGTTAAGTGGCAGTGTATAAATCTTAATTGGCAGGTGTTCGAGGTAGAGGAGCGGGGGGGTATGTTGTGTAGTATCATCCTCATTGCCTTTTGCTGTCCATTCATCTGAAAACGGAAATATCTTTCATTGTTAGTGTCAGCCGTCTTTGGGGGATTATCTCCTCAATGCCGTTGAGAATTATTTATAACTTGGCAGCAGAATAATAAATCTCTTGAAAATTTCGTATGGATTTATTGGAAAATTTCATATGGGAAATTTGAAGAGGTTTCGTAGAGAAAATTGAAATTTAGCAAATTTTCCTATAGAAACTCTAGGTGTGCCTGGTTACCCTAAACTTTAAAGAAATTATAACTGGATTTCGTCTGTTAACGCAAATGATGTGCAAAAGAGAGCAGTGCGAGAGAGAAACTATGACAGCCCTTTTTTACTCAAAGTTTGCAAGTTCTTTTTTCCGAATTTCGAATTAAACTTTCCGAATTTCGGATGAAATAAACGAACTTTTTCCGATTTTTCGGATAAAAGCATAGAAAAAATAATAAAAATTCTTTTTTTTTCGAATTTCGGATCAAATCATCTAAAAATCCAAAAAAAAAATCAAATCATCTAAAAAACTAAAAATTTTCAGAATTTCAGAAATTTTTATTTGTCAAATGGCTTATGACAAACAAGGCCTATATAGGTCTACGTCGTATAGACCCCAATATAACGGTTATACAAAGACATAGAAGTGTAAAGATAGGACAAGACAGAGTCAAAATATGGTAACCCTCTGAAAATACCTCTGGTGTTACGATATCATAACAACATCGTTACCAATGTTAACTGATTTAAACCCTAAGGCAATGTGCAAATTTTCGGAAAGGTCCATGGAATAGAATTTTGAAATAAAAATTTTGGATTTTTCAAATTTTTATTTGTCATCCGTTTCTGTAATTGTGGTTTTTATATTAACATATCTCTGCCATGAGCTGTTATGTATTGTAGACACAAACCATTTGCTCAAAATGCATTTTGTCTAGTCTTTACCATTTTAGGTCCTTGGGCTATATTCGGTATTTTTAAAATGTTAACAGAATTTTTTAAGGA